AAAAAAAAAAAAAAAAAGTACGTGACGTAATCTAGACACGGCCCCTTTTGATAATGACAAACCAGAAGCCTTAATCTATAAACCTACATTTGATACTAATTAATCGGATATCGAAGCACAGATTATACTTACATAAATTTCAAATAATATCTGCACATAAAGTGAATAATACCCTCTACAATCTTGGAATGTTCAAAAGACAATCTTGGTCGTATTACACCAAGATTGCCACATCTGGAAAAATTACAACTTTTAAGAAGTTTAGGAGTATTACGGCTCCTTGTGAAAGAGTAAGTACTGCCACCTTATCTCCTTCTGCCGCCAAGCAATAATGTGAGCATTCCGTTCCGATTTCGAAGGGTGATGGGACTTGTCAACTTGTCTCAGGGTCAGCGTGACGGGTGCAGTGGCAGTGGGCAATCTTTACGATTCAAAGCCCCGAATGGCGTCATTTGGTAGCATAAAAAAAAGATTCTACGATCGAAACTGACAGGGTTATTATTGACTCTATGTGTATTACTTCCGTGAAGGTGAATATAGTATATTTAATAATCCTATTGGAATCTCGGCTAACGTTATAAGCTCCTTTAAACCCCTCTAACTTTACACTTTATCTAAGCACTATCGAGTTGCATTGCAGTACACCATAAATTATGGTATGTGATATTATGCTGGTTGTTGTTTTGCGATTCTTTTATTAAATAATTAAGATTGTCAGCTTTAACAATAGACGTTATATATAAAATATGTACGCAGGTGGTCCAGGTACATAAGAATAGGTGTATAATTGAAAAAGAAGATGAATAGAGGGCTTTACACAGACACTGTATCGCGCGTGAGGCAATCGTGCGCGATTGCACTCGTCCGTCGCGCGCGCAATTGCGCACTCCAACACGCGCCAGTTTCACGCGATCTATCCTGCGCGATTAGCCTTTACGACGCTCTTTTCGTTATGCAGGTGCCAAAAACGACCACGAGCAAACGCTCGTGGTCGTGCTTAAAAAATTTCAAACAGATAATCGCAATCCTGTAACCTCCTGATCACCTGCGATAGAGTGACTGTGGAAACGGGGCTATTATTGCAACCTTGACCCTATAATGGCGGAATGAATTTTGACTAAGTTCCGTAAATAAACATAGAATGCCTACTCTACCCTCTTTTATTTCTTACGTGTGGAAATCCATCAATCACGACTAACGTAATCCACATTTTAACGAAATTACTTATTAGCACATCTGGGCTCAGCAAAACGAGATTTATAACCTGGTATAACCCCTTCTAATCGGTCTTATTTGTACATTAATTAGTTTCAATTTTATTATCAAGCTAAGGGTCGTATTCTAGAACTCTACTCAATGCTCATGTCAGGATTTGAGTATGGTTTAAAGCACTCGAAATCATACTCAAGTCCCTTCCATTAGGCTCGTATTTCCAGCGCTTGTGTTTCCATTGCAATCCTGACTTGAGCATTGAGTAGAGTTCTAGAATACGACTCTTAATCTGCGTAATTGGTCCTTTTTTTTTTTCCATTCTCTAAGGTAATTGGACATTTTTCGGGTGACAATAAAAGTTTAGGTGCCAGAATCTCGAACGTTATCGAAATGCAAAAATGGGTTAGTTATGACAAGGAGGCACTACTTATGTCGCAATTTGGCATTATAAAGTGTGCTACACAAATAAATTACGGGCTAACACTAGCTAGAAGAATATTAGGTAACTGGACAATCTGATGGATATAGATTGTAAGATGTAAAATATTAAAATTATGTTATTTTCTTTGAAATACGTATATTTTGACTTTTAAGATGTACAATATTTAACAAAATTGTTAAATAAGTCAAACAAATTTTTATGACAAAAGTTGAGACGCTAATGTAAACTCTTTAAAATTAATTAAGGGTATTTATTTCTGGCCACTCTACCGTATTTAATTTCTTTTTTAATGTAAACTAAGAGGCAAACGAGCGGACTTGCCACTTGTTGTATTATGACAAAATAACCATCTTTTGTTTTTAATATTTATTGAAATAAATAGATACGCTAACTTTTCTAAAGCACCAATAAGTTTTAATATTTGGACCAAAATGAGGATTGTGCTTTACAAATTATTTTGCAACAATTAAATATAATAATTGTTACAAAAATTTCAATCAGTATGAAGCTGAAAGCAATTGCTGTAATATTAAATAAGTTTTAAGTAATTTATTAGAATTTATTGTAAATTTTACAATTGTACATAATGCAAATAAAACCTACCTTTTAGCTTGAATTGATGTTTTATTTATTCGTCTGATTGTTATTTTATTTTATTATTATTTTTGAAGGCAATAAAAGAGACAGCAGAAACAAGTTCTGCAGTGTTCCAGCCGTGGACTACTCTGTTGCTGAAGAGGTATTATAGTGAACAAAGATCTGCAACAAGCATATAGAAAAATTCGTAGGGTTCGCTGGCTCGTTCCGTGGATTAGTTGGCATAACGTCTGGCACGGTTTGCTAGAAGACGTTGGTTCGAATGCAACCGGATCGAAGGACTTTTTTCTAAGTGTTCGATCTTAAGAAACTTATGTAGTAATTTCACAAGACAATATTTGACTATCATGGTGGTCAAACATACATCCTAACATGCAATCACCGTAATTAGTATTATGATGAGTTTTTTTAGAACATGTATTTTTATAAATTTTTCTACTGCAGACAATTGATAACAATTCTACGACCTTCTATACAACAGACTATAATTTGGGAAGATATTATAGAATAGAATATTGGTTTTATTCAGTTTTTTCAAATCGTGTTTTGTCAATCCCACAATTTTGAGTTACGACAGTACTCGGTTTCGTGTGCGATTTATTTATAGAGTATAAGAGAATTTAATATAAAATAAATTCTCACAATAGCCGGAAAGGCTAGCCAGTTCAGCATTATACTGAGCAGTCTCAGCGCGATTTTTTCAGCTGGAGACTGAGAGAAAATTACTTTAAATATCAAAGGAAAATTGAGGAGCTTCCGAACAAAAACTAATAAATCCGATAAACTTCGATTCTAATTTCGGTGAAAATGTCTATCCAATGTATTTCTAGTTTAATTGAATCGATTTGTCACAGTGTGTTTAGATCTGTGCATTTAAAACGTATTTTAAAGCGCTTTTAGCGGTTGCTATCCAGATTGGATAAATTGTTCGTAGAAACGTACTAAAGCTACCGCTTGGCATATTAATCATTGTTAAAATTTTTTTAATAAATCTATAAATTTAAAAAAAATTACCGGAATCATTGCGGTGGGTCTGTAACTGGTTATATACTCGATGGTCCGTAATGATTCCGGTAATTTTTTACTGTGAGTGAGTGCTTCTATAGCGCGTGACGAGTTACATACAAAATGAATTATTAATAAAATGATCGAACACTAAGAAAAACCTCCTTTGATCCGGCTGGATTCGAACCAACGTCTTCCAGCAAACCATGCCAGACGCTATGCCAACTAAGCCACGGAACGAACTAGCGGACGAATTTTTCTCTTTGTTTTTGGTTTCTAATGACTTTTGCTGTATCGCCATCTGAGAGAAATCTATTTCTTCACTCAGCCAGGTACACGATCTCTTAATAGTTTACACGCCATCTTTGAGGTTTCGTGTTTGATTCACGGCCGGGTTAATGTATTTCTACATTACTAACTAGTTCACTAACATTTCTATATTGTCTCGGGTCTGAAGTGTTTGTGGTCGTAAGGTCGTGTTCCAGAACTCTACTCAATACTCAAGTCAGGACTTGAATATTGCAGTGAGCACTGAAAATCATACTCAAGTCCTTGCCATTAGAGTCGTATTTCCAGTGCTCAAATCCTGACTTGAGCATTGAGTAGAGTTCTGGAATACGACCCGTAGTTTCCGATTTCTAAAACACAAGTGTTTTAGATAGTTACTTACTTTGAAGAGCAACTCACAGTGTTAAAACAAAAAACATCTTTTTCAAAATATAAAATGTTTTTTTTTTTTTTTCTAAAATACATATAATAAAACAATAATTTTCTTTTAATTTTTTTTTCAATTTTCAGTAATTATTGTCCCACTGCAGGACAAAGACCTCCCTTCCCTTTTACCACTCTTCACGATTTAACGCCGGTACAGGCCAAGACCTCACATAAGAATGAATTGTTTCATTACACCATCATGTTCTGGGTTTCCCACGCCTTCGTCTTGCGCTTGGTGGTGTCCACTCCGTGCCTTGCCCAGTTCCAATGTAAGCATGCGGCTTTGTGATGACCAATGTTTACGATTTGTGTTTTGGAGTGCAGTATGCTGTTTCGCACACGGTCTGACTTGCTACCAAGACACTGTGCACCATGCCTCCCTGACACTTCGACGAACTTCTGACAATTCATCAAAGACCAAGTTTGAGCACTGTAAGGACAGAGAGAATGCGCATGTCCATGAGATTTCTTTTGAGAGGTAGTAGTAATTTTCCCTTCATCAGGTCTTTCATTGACCAAAAGTTTTTCCTGGCATTTTCCATGTTGGGCAACCTCTTTTACATGTCTTGCCAGTTGATGAGAGACTATTTGGCCAAGATAAAAATGAACCTGAACATACCCCACCCTCATAGCTCCCACACTCGCTCTGTGTTGCATGCTGTTAGTCATAATCTGGGTCTTTGACATATTCATCCCCAGTCTGAACCAGAGGCTTGCATTGTTAAGTAGGTTGACCATTTCACTACACTCTGCACCAACACAATGTCATCAGTGAAACGGAGATTGGTTAGTTTTCTATCTCCGACCACAATTCCCTTTTCCTTCCAGCTACCAGCCAATTGTTTGAAGACCTCTTCCAAGGTGGCGGTGAAGAGTTTAGGAGACAGTGGATCAATAATAAAACAATAATGTACACGTTAAAAAATTTACAAATATATTAAATGCAAATTACATCAATAAGAATATAATTTCACTGGAATTATTATGTACATTATACATATTATACGTAATTAATTATATGTACATAACCTCACTTGATTCCTTTCGCGAGTAAGTCCTTTTTTGCTTCAATTATTTCTTCTTGTAACTCTTTTGCAGCTTCTTCGCAGTTGTTAAACGTAAATACTCGGTAAAGTATCACAGTCACCGCGTACAAACCGAATAACATCACTAACAAAATTGGAGATACTATTATAAAATTCATGTATTTATCTATCAACGGATTCTTGACGTAGCCGCCAATTAGAGAGTACCACACTGCAAAAACAGCAGACGCCACAGAAATCCATTCCAATAACTTCGTCATGGTTCTGCAAGTAAGAATTTTGGTCAAAAGTAAACAAAGAGTTTATATTTAATTATCATATTTCTTGAGAGATATTACAATGAGGCAGATGTTTTTGAATAGGGAATGTTTTGTAGTTCCTGTAAACTTGATTATTACCTTATTTTCCTTTAAACTTTTATGTTTTAATATACATCACAAAAGTTTATAAAAACTCGAGAAACGACTCAGTATCACGTTTTCACTGACAATGACAACCACAAACTATGACAACTGACGTGATGAGTGACAATTTGACAAATGCGTGACAATCTACGAAAGCCGCAGTGTTCGAATACACGTTTTGATCTCCGGCTATCCAACCGTACATAGTGACACCACCGTAAAAGTGTTTCTTTTAACAGAATCATCAGAAAGGAGCTGCCCTATCTACGGAACAAACGCCCCTACCTAAACCAAAAATATCCACCACAAATGGCGGATTTAGTGTTGTACCATAATTATAGATAACTCAATATCGACATGCAAATGTATGGCATGAATGTTGAAACTGTTTGTGTGTTTATGTTTGCAAATTTGCATAGTTTACTGTAATCAAAATATGATTAATACTAGGCTATAATTACTAGGCAAGTAATGAGCCATTTTAATCAAAATTAAATATAAAGTTATTTACCAATAAATGTAACGATGGAATTGCATTATCATGTAATCGAGTTACATTCAAAGTTCTATTAAAATTTGTCTCTTGAAAATGGAGCGAATAAACGAAGATGGTATTTGGTCAATGTTTATGTTCGGCAGTCCTATAATTTCCAACCATTTTTTCTTTCTTTTTTCATTTGTAGGTAAACTTTAAAAATAATAATAATGAAATAATAAAAACCTGATAGTGAATTGTTAGTAGTAAATAGTAATAACAGAATATCGATAATATGTCTGCTTGCAAGAACAACACTATCTCAAAAAATCGGTATCAACAATCATCAAAATATACTAACAAACAGGCAATCTAAAGTAAACAAAGCAAAATTCGACAAGACTTATGAATAAACTATATAAATGAGTCTAGTTATATGAGATATTTGGGCTATTGTATGATTTATAGACAAAAAAATAACACGTGTATAATGTAACATTCGGTTGATTTCCGCCTTTTCTACTGCCCCACCCCTTAATGCCGCAGCGACGCATTTTAATCAATACTTAATTGTTTTCACTGTCAATATTATTGTCCATTTCATTACATTGCATGCGAATAATTCAATAAAACATTTGGCTAGACATTGGTTTTGACATTTGATGTACCATGCCAGCACGTCAAGCTACACATTGATGTAACGTGTTCCGTTGCACTGGAGGCGAATTTCGAACAAAAATGTGTAGTCTGATGTGCCGTTGTCCGTACTACTCTTTGACAAACGGAAACGGTTATCAAAGGGTACTCCAAAAATGGTAAAATGAGGACAGTTGGCATTTAAGATGACGTTACGTATCCCGTGTTCGATCCCGTGTTTGACATAAATCATTGCAATTAAACAAAGACAATAAAACGTTTATCTTTTCAACGTCTAAATGCATCATATACATATAATGTCTGTTTTATATATGTCAATATAACATGTCCTTTAGTTTCTATAGTCTAAGGTAAATCGATGGAGCCATTTTAAAGAAATTGGAATTGGAATCGAATACACGTAAGCATTACATGTAATTACTAGTAATAAAGCTGAAAAATTATTTTGGTAAATATTTCTTTAAATAAGAGGATGGAAAAAAATTGCTTTAAATAAAGCTTACAGGATGGATGAAGCTTCTAAGATGAAAGGATGAAGCCACAATAGTAAAATAAGTAATATCCACCCTTAGAGGATGACTCTGATGTAAAATGGAATCCAAACATAAAGGAACCTAGGACAGTGTTGATAGTGATACAATCACTGCCTTATCCACCTCCACCTTGCATGCATACAAGATGGCTCTTCACGCCTCGTTTGAAGGACCCCATACTTGGTACTTGGTGTAACGGGCTGGACCCCATATCGTAAGACGGAGGGAATACGTGCGCTGGAAGGGAGTTCCAATTGACAACTGTGCGACAGAGGAAAGTGACAATTTAATCTCTATTATTTATTACTTGAGCACTGCCTAGAGCCATCAGCTGAGGACGGTAATAAATAATGGCGCATTCTTAACACTTCTCCTGCCGAAGGCGTCGCAGTCGACTACTTGGCCTTACCGAATACAACGCACCCAGTCGCTTCGGTTGACTTCGGCTGCAAACTACCGTTGTCAGACGACTCACTATTTCCACCGGGTAGCTTATGCCTTCGGTGGACAAGTAAGGATCGCCTGACGACTTGTTGTAAATATTGCTGGGTTCATGAGTCTTTCACTTGCTTGCGTGACTCGCTTCGTGCATACGCAGAAATCTGTTGCGTACGCGCTGGTAAGACTGTTCTCGAGTTGCTCGCTTGCGCCGGTCACTTGCTTTGCGTTGGATTTCTTTTCGTGGCGTGAATTTGATATCTAGCAAACTTGATATTTCCACGTAAGCAATAAGGAGCGTTTGCGGAGCACAGCACCACTGGCCAATCACAGAGCAGCAGCTGGTTCGAGAGTGTCGACAGATTTCTACGCCGTGTACGCAGCCAACGCAAGTAAGCGAAAAACGCAATTGAAAGACTCGTGAACCGCCGGCTAAACTCTTGAAAAAAAAGGTGAGCAATAATATTTTTTCTTTCTAGTCTTTTCGCGGTTAGTATTTCAGCCATTTACAACATATTTTGACTTAAATATTTTTAAAACGGGGAAACTTTATATAATGTTCATTGCGTTATAAAAAGTTTGTGTTGGGGCCCTTGACTTACAATTATATGGACGTCGGGTCCGCGCTAAAAAGTGTCCGAACTTATAGGGCGTTAAAATCGTATATAGAGCGTCATTCACGGTTTAGTCTTCGTTTGTTCGACTGACAGCGAAGCAAGCAAAATTAGACAGTACTGCTATGACATTACAATTTAAATTGAACGTTTTAGCTTTTTCATATTCCTTTACATGTCACTACGTTTAAATGGGTTGACTTGGGACTTTTTTCGTGGTTTTTGTATTAGACCCGTCGTCCATTTATTTGTAAGTCAATGGTTGGGACATATTGAAAATTGTCTTTATTCGATCTACTTACCAGTCCAAAACAGTTATGTATTTTTGTAAATTATGAATTATTTAATTTTTATACAATGAACTATTATGTATTCCTAGCATTTATTTTGTGCGGTCTGTGCTTAAACTAAAGAATTTAAATTAAAAATTAATAAATAGTGCTGCAAGGCGTCTGCCATTATTATATTTGGTGGGTCCTATTAAATGACGCATTATAAGTTGATTTCAGTTATTTCCATGGCATCTTTTATAAAATAGACATAATGTGATTTTACAGATCGTGATCGATGACTTATATAGCTCTAATCAAGCTAAATTTTACGAACTTTTTTGAGTAAATTATTTCAAGAGAATAAATTAGAGTAAATCATTTTTAAACATGTAGTGGCAGTACCTAAAAAAATGTCCAACCCAAAGATCTTATATACATAATCTAACCATTAGATTAGTATTTTAAATCTGTTTTATCATAAAAATAAATTATAATCTCAAAAAACTTCACTTCAAAACAAAACTTCATAGCAAAATTGGCATCACAAACTATTAAAAGATACTAAGTTAAAGCCATTGACTTACAATTTGTAAGTCAATGGTTAAAGCATATACCCTTCATGACATAATGAAATAAACTATATAGAGATAAACACATGCGCTCGTTGCCTTTTCGATGAAAACAAAGAAAAACACTAAATATATGAAGAGGCTGTATGAAGGAATCTTTGCCTACCCAAATAAATGGGTGAAAATTAAAAAAAATATACATATGTGAATCGGAACATTGCAAATTTGACGTTTCAGAAATGGCTCAGCTGATGTAAATCCATTGTTTGCAAATATATAAATATTAAGTTTATAGCAAAAAGAGTATTAAGTTTAGGAATTTCTGTAATCTTGTCTAAAAACAATCATGAACGAAATAGATGATAAGTTTTACTATGTGTACAGCTCATCATTGGACTACAAAGTTGAGATTAAAATGTAAGTATACATAATTTGTTGTCATTTTTATTCTTGATAAGTATTTTAACTCCTTTACCCGCATGTGTCGTGATTACAATGACCTCGCTATTGCCCATATCTACAAAACGCCACACCGATCTCCCACTGGAGTAAGCCGCGACCACGGACCTCCACTTGCTACCCCCTGACAAACTTCTCACTTCTATAAATTGCGTAAGGTCAAATGACCTTCGTCTCACCAGATGGAAGGTGACATGAGGTCGACGATGGATCATGCACACCTAAATAAAGCCTTATTATCTCTCGCCTTAAAAAGGCCCAAGTTATAGCATTCAGGGAATAAATCGGGAAATCCAGGCATGGCCCCCTCTGCACCCCCCACACTATACAACAGACTGTGTGTTTCTAGAATGTGTGACGAATCGCATGATCGTCATGGTTTGAAATCCTGTCCAAATCTTGCATGTGATACAAAATATTTATTATTATTTCTTTATTTAAACACTATTGTACCACAAAGTAACTTACAAATATTTCAGAAACAATTTAAATATTTGTGTACAAAGGAGACCTTATTCCATCAAGAGATTTCTTCCAACTAACCTTTGAAAGAGGTTCGGAGAGGAAAGTTGGTTTTTGGGGTGGCACTAAAAATGGATAAGTAAAAAATAGAATATATTATACTTAATAAATACACAGATAAATTTATTATATGAAATATACATACTAATACATATACATTAAGTAATGTTGATACATTAAATCATACAAAGTCTATAATAAAATGAATGTATAAAATAAAACTATAAATAAATATATCAAATGTAAATAAGTATTTCATAAGGTCTAACATGTGGAATCTGAACAATCTCAAAACTTCAAAAGAGCACCCTTGAAAA